AGCCGGCAGCCGGAAGGCCCCCATCTGCCTCATCACCCCCGAGCCTAGGGACCCACCTGTGCGTAGATTTCACGCAACAGGCCTTTGGTTGTAGAACAAAACATTTAAAAAAGGATTCACGTAAGTGAAGCCTGAGGTGCAGGGTCTAGTTTAATGTCTAGACTCGCAGTGTCTCCCAAAGTGTGGTGCGCGTGCCCCCAGGGGGACGGGAAGAGTTCGGTGGGGGTACACGTTGCACCGGAGTTTGGTGGGGAGATGCACTGCACCATGCTTAGCTGCGCCTAATTCTACATTCTCATGAGGACGAGGGGCACTCAGCATTAGGAAAATTATAGAAGGGGCACACGTATGTCAAAAGTTTGGGAAACACTGGTCTAAGGAATGTCTAAAGGGCCTAGAGGAACCTTTTAATGTGACTTTCAGCACCTCCTCCCCCAGGAAGCTGGGTCTGAGGGTGCATGTCACCATGTCTCAGAGTCGCCCCTGAGTGTGTCCCTGAGACCAACACAAAGTGACGTTGCAGGTGAACTGTGATTGGAGAGAGAGGGGGGAGAGAAGGAGAGAGAGGCGGGGGGGGGGGGGGAAGATAGAGAGAGAGGGAAAGAAAGGGAGAGAGAGGGAGAGAGAGGCAGAGAGAGGGGGGGAGAGGGAAAGAAATGGGGAAAGATGGGGAGATGGGGAGAGAAGGAAAGGAAGATAGAGAGAGACCTTCCCACTTTGTCCTGAGCGCTTGCCGCGAAGGCAAACTGTGTGTGTGGAGGTGCTGGGCTCCTCCCTGGTGTCCGCCTACCGCGCCCTCTAGTGGCAGCACTCAATGCAGAGCTGCTCTGTCCTGCGTTGAGGGTGGTTTTCCACGTATTTTCCAACAGAGTCACAACGCGTGCGCTGGATTTTGTTTCTATCGTTAAGCAATTATGAGCCATTTCAGAGTAAACGGCTTTTTACTTGTATTAATTATTCATCTCCTACAGTAAAAAAAAAATCGCCTTTTTTTAAAAACTTTTCTTTTTACCTAGGTTCGTTCCGTTAAATCTGTGTTTAAACTTAACCTGCATTTTGCGGGGACCGGTTTGGCTCAGTGGATAGAGCGTCGGCCTGCGGACTGAAAGGTCCTGGGTTTGATTCCGGGCAAGGGCATGTACCTTGGTTGCGGGCACATCCCCAGTAGGGGGTGTGCAAGAGGCAGCTGATCGATGATTCTCTCTCATCGATGTTTCTAACTCTCTAATTCTCTCTTCCTCTCTGTGAAAAATCAATAAAATATATTTAAACTTAACCTGCATTTAAATGCAGGGTAAGCTGTTATCAGTATAGTACTTTAGAAGTTACGTGCTTTCTGGGAAGTTTTAAGAGATCTGTCAATGCCCTCGTTTTCCATAATGTGTCTGGACCGCAGGAGAACAAACCAGGGGAAGTGGTTCTGACGAGGTTTCCTATGTTTGTTAGTCGGGGCGGCTCTCTCTCTGACATTATTAGCCAGCAGCATTGTGGGGCTATGAGTCATCGTTTCATTTATTATTAAACACATGGCCACACCCTCCGTCTCCCATCGGAATCTCCATCTTGTTGACCAGTGTGTTTTGGTGGGGGGTGCACAGTGGACGTAGCTGATGAAGATTCATTAAAATGTCGATGCTCAGCCGAAACCGGTGTGGCTCAGTGGTAGAGCGTCGGTCTGCGGACTGAAGGATCCCAGGTTCTATTCCGGTCAAGGGCATGTACACTGGGGATGTGCAGGAGGCAGCTGATCGATGATTCTCTCTCATCGATGTTTCTAACTCTCTATCCTTCTCCCTTCCTCTCTGTAAAAAATCAAGAAAATATATTTAAAATAATAATAATAAAATAAAATGTCGATGTTCAGGGCGCGCCCCACACTGCCGGCTCCCTTTGCCCGATGTTCGGGGTCAGGCCTGTGAGTGCTTGGCTCAGACGGGGCGTATTATCACATCGTTATATGTGAAAAGGTGCGTTTCCGTGTGTGAATGAGAGGAAACATGTGCTGGCTTTGAAAATGGGCTAATCGTTGCCCTTATCTGCCTTTCACCAAAGCTCTCCTGGCATGGCTGTTTTCTCCGTGTCTACACCCAGAGAAGCAGCCCCTTTCCTCTGCAGTGGCCACGCCTGTGTGACCCCCCCCCCCCAGACCTTCCACTCGGTGAGGCCGGGAATCACGCCCCACAGCTGCTGTTGCCGGTGTGTTTTTAAGATAAGGGACTCGGTTTTCTTTTTAAAGTTGGTTTCAGAGAGGAAGGGAGGGAAGGAGGGAGGGAGGGAGAGAGAGAGAGTAAGAGAGAGATCAATGATGAGAATCACTTATCAGCTGCCTCCTGCATCCCCCCACTGGGGATGGAGCCTGCAACCCGGGCAGTGCCCTTGGCTGGAATTGAACCGTGACCCCTGGTTCATAGGTCAACGCTTAACCGCTGAGCTATGCTGGCCGGGTTCTAGTTCTTTCTTTATAAATCACTTGCTAGACAAGTCCTTTGTTCTCTATTCTACATGAATAAGATGCAGACTTTCCGTTTTAATACATCAGTTGCCCCCTTTTGGCGGGGTGGGGCAGGCCGACGCTCTATCCACTGAGCCACACCGGTTTTGGCTGACACCCCGTCTTCTAAAGAGGCCACCACGGAATCCACACGGGCCTGCTTCTCCAGAGATCCTGAGTGCTGTGTCTGTTCCAATAACGGAACCTGACATTGATCCATCCCTTCCTGTGTGCCGGGCCCTGTTCCAGGCGTTCTGTCCCTTTCTCCGAGTCCTCCACGCAGCCTGAGAGCGACCTGCGCCCCCCTTCCTGGCGAGGAGGAGACGGCGCCTGCGATTGCGATTGCGAGGCCTTCCTCTGGACTAGGAAGTCCAAAGGCAGGAGGCCTGGCCGCGTGGCCACCCATGGGTGGGAGCGTCGTCCCAGCACCGAACCCTGGCAGTTCGATTCCTGGTCAGGACACATGCCTGCCTGACAGGTTTGATGCCCAGTCAATGTGCACACAGGAGGCAGCTGATCCATGTTTCTCTCTCACATCGATGCCCCCCCCCCAATTAAACAAAATAGATAAAAGGCAAGAGAAATAAGAATGGCTCATTTAGAATTTATTAGCAGTGAGCTATCGGTGTAATTCCAGGCTTGTCCACCAGGGGGCAGTCGTCACATAACAATCTGAACCGCCTCCTGGCGTGGCTCTCAGAACCCACATCAATCACACCTGGAGTTAGTCTTCAGCTCAGCGCAGACCGAGGCCATCTGCTTCTTTTCAGCCCAAACTAACACGGCCGGCCTGGCTTTGCCGCGGTAACTGAGGGGGCTGGGCGTCTCACACACCGTCTCTGAGGAGGGAGGTGAGCGTGGCGCAGACAGACGTGTGTACGGTGCGGGTTCGAGGGCACCGTGTCCAGCACATGTACCGGCTCCTCCAGCCCCAGCCCCACCACCTGTGGGCCCCCCACTCCAGGCCATGCTTCCTGGAGATGCTATTTACACAGCAAACACCTCCTTGTCCCCAGGACGGACGGCACTGCCTGTGCCGGGCCGATCGGACCGACCGCGTCCGGGGCCCTCCTGCAGCCCGATGCCGACGGCCTCCTCCTGAGGGCGCTGCCGCCGAGGACCGGTGCAGTGCCGCCCCCGTGAGCGCGCGCGGGGCCCTGCTCTCTGGGCTTCTGATGCCAACAGCTCTAAGCGTCCTCATTTCCTGTCCCCGTGGCTCCACCTCCGTCACCAAGGCTCCCGCTCGGTGCCCTCCAGCCCTGGGGTTCCTCTCGGCCCAAACGCCGTCCCCGGTCCTGTTCCTGACGGGGCCCCGGAGAAACCCAGAGGGGAGGCCCAGGTGTCCCGCAGGGCTACGGCCAGCGAGGAGATGGAAAAAAAGGTGCAGGACGGGTGGGTTTGCCGCATCTGGGATTTGAGTGTGTGTGTGTGTGTGTGTGTGTGTGTGTGTGTGTTTAAATGATTTTGTATTGATTTCAGACAGGAAGGGAGAGGGAGAGAGAGAAGCATCCATGATGAGAGAGAATCATAGACCGGCTCCCTCCTGCACGCCCCCTCACTGGGGATGGAGCCCACAACCCGGGCCTGTGCCCTGACCGGGAACCGAACCGTGGCCTCCTGGCTCCTGGGACAGTGCTCACCGCGGAGCCGGGCCGCGGGGCTGTGTGTGCTTGTCCCTGATCACTGTCAGCGGGCGCTGCAGCTCCCGGGGGCCGGGCGGACCAGCCCTCGCTCACAGACGCTGAGCCCGCCCCTCCGGCCGCTCCGAGGAGCCCCAGAGGCCCAGGCCCTGGCCGTCACCAGGGTGGCATCCTGGCATTTCTCCGACGCGGCTTGTGACTCGGAGTCTCTTTTTGTCCCGAGATAAGCCAGGCAGACACGGCCGCCGGACAGCTGAGGAGGGCAGCTGCCTGCTCCCTGGCGGCCCAGCAGCCCTATAAATAGCGCCGCTGTCCCGGTGACAGGCAGGCGGGTGGGTGCTCTCAGCCTGGCCCAGCGCTTGCGACTGAGCGGGTCACAGCACAGAGCTGCCCCTGCTCATCTCAGCAAAGGCGCTGCAGGCTGGGCAGCCAGGGCCTGGACAGCGAGGGCCTGGGCAGCGAGGGCCTGGGCAGCCGGGGCCTGGGCAGCCGGGGCCTGGACAGCGAGGGCCTGGGCAGCGAGGGCCTGGGCAGCGAGGGCCTAGGCAGCCGGGACCTGAGCAGCCGGGGCCTGGGCAGCGAGGGCCTGGGCAGCCGGGGCCTGGGCAGCCGGGGCCTGAGCAGCCGGGGCCTGGGCAGCGAGAGCCTGGACAGCCGGGGCCTGGACAGCGAGGGCCTGGACAACGAGGGTCTGGACAGCCGGGGCCTGGACAGCGAGGGCCTGGACAGCCGGGGCCTGGGCAGCCGGGGCCTGGACAGCGAGGGCCTGGACAAGGAGGGTCTGGACAGCCGGGGCCTGGATAGCGAGGGTCTGGACAGCCGGGGCCTGGGCAGCCAGGGCCCGGGCAGCCGGGGCCTGGACAGCGAGGGTCTGGGCAGCCGGGGCCTGGACAGCGAGGGTCTGGACAGCCGGGGCCTGGGCAGCCAGGGCCCGGGCAGCCGGGGCCTGGACAGCGAGGGTCTGGGCAGCCGGGGCCTGGACAGCGAGGGCCTGGACAGCCGGGGCCTGGACAGCGAGGGGCCCGAGGGGCCGCCGCCCTGCCGCTGGCCCATGATGGCGCAGGTCGTCCTGAGGCACCCCATCCACACGCCCGTGCGCTACCAGGAGCAGTTCGAGGCGCGGGGGCTGGAGGACTGCCGGCTGGACCACGCCCTGTTCGCGCTGCCCGGGCCGACCACCGTGGACCTGGGCCGAGCCGGGGCCCCCACGGCGGAGACGCCGCCCCCCGGGGGCCCCCCCGAGGGCCCCCCCGAGGGCCCGGCCCGCTTCCAGGTGCTGCTGGACGTGGTGCAGTTCCTGCCGGAGGACATCCTCATCCAGACGTGCGAGGGCTGGCTGCTGGTGCGGGCACGGCACGGCACCCGCATGGACGAGCACGGCTTTGTGTCCCGGGCCTTCACCCGCCAGTACCGCCTGCCCCGCGGCCTGGGCGCCACCCACCTGCGGGCCGCGCTGGGCCACGACGGCATCCTGGTGGTGGAGGCCCTGCGCGGGGCCGGGGCGCCGTGAGACCGCCCGGGGCCCCGCTCAGCCCCCCGGGCCCCGCAGAGCCCCCGGGGTCCCCCACAGCCCCCCGGGCCCCGCACAGCCCCCCCGGGGCCCCGCTCAGCCCCCCGGGCCCCGCACAGCCCCCCGGGCCCCGCACAGCCCCCCGGGCCCCGCACAGCCCCCCGGGTCCCCCACAGCCCCCCCGGGGCCCCGCTCAGCCCCCCGGGCCCCGCACAGCCCCCCGGGCCCCGCACAGCCCCCCGGGGTCCCCCACAGCCCCCCAGGCCCCGCACAGCCCCCCCCCCCCGGGCCCCGCACAGCCCCCGGGGCCCGCACAGCCCCCGGGCCCCGCACAGCCCCCCGGGCCCGCACAGCCCCCCGGGGTCCCCCACAGCCCCCCGGGGTCCCACACAGCCCCCCCCCGGGCCCCACACAGCCCCCCCCCCGGGCCCCGCACAGCCCCCCCGGGCCCCGCACAGCCCCCCGGGGCCCCCGCACAGCCTCCTCGGGGAGCACAGGAGCGGCTGCGGGGCTCCCTCTGTGGGCAGCGGTTTGGGTGCAGAGTCAGCATGTGGACGTGCCTGGCAGGTTGCGTGTCAGAGGAGCCCAGAGCTGGGGCTTCGGAGCGAGGGGGCAGACAGGGACTCGGACCTTCGCCGCCTTCGCCACCCGCGGGAGCGCCCGCCGTGGACCCTGTGCACCGGGAGGGCGCCCGCCGGCAGCCCTCCTCTCGCGTGAGGTGCGGTGATGAGCAGTCTGCGGGGAAGACGGGTGGGGGCGGGGGGCGGGAACGTGTGTCTGACTCAGCGCTGTCACTCCCCCCGTGTGGCACCTCAGATTAAATCCTCTTCCGAACGCCCTGCGTGCCTGTTCTTCCCACACGGAGCGCGCTGTAAGCGGCGTGTCCTGTGGGCGTGTGGGCGCCCGGCAGGGGTGCCATCTGCCTGTGGGTTCCTGTTCACGTCGGAAACGGTCACAGCGGGCGGGCACAGGGTCTCGCCGGCCGTCAGCCGCCCGGCCCCGAAGCACAAGCGTGGGCACTGCCCCCACGGGCTTTGGCAGCCGCGGGCAGGGGACGGGAGGGGAGGGGAGGGGGCGCAGGCACTGGGCTCACGGCCAGGGGCTCCGGCTGCTCAGCTCCAGGCCACGCAGCGCCAGGTGGGTTACGGACCGGCTTCCGGAATGTTGGCCTGGACAGCCGGTCAGTGACACTCCTACGGCCCTGCCGGGGGGCCACCGCCCGCAGTGCTGGGTGCTGCTTGCTCGGGGTGAAGAAGGCAGATCCCAGAGCAGGGGCGGGGAGGGGGAGGGGAGAGGGAGAGGAGGGGGAGGGGCAGGGAGGGGGAGGGGAGAGGGAGAGGAGGGGGGAGGGACAGGGAGGGGGAGGGGAGAGGGAGAGGAGGAGGAGGAGGAGGGGAGGGGGAGGGGGAGGGAGAAGGAGAGGAGGGGGAGGGACAGGGAGGGGGAGGGGAGAGGGGGAGGAGGAGGAGGAGGGGAGGGGAAGGGGGGAGAAGGAGAGGAGGGGGAGGACAGGGAGGGGGAGGGGGAGGGAGAGGAGGGGGAGGGACAGGGAGGGGGAGGGGAGAGGGGAGAGGAGGGGAGGGACAGGGAGGGGGAGGGGGAGAGGGAGAGGAGGAGGGGGAGGGACAGGGAGGGGGAGGGGGAGAGGGAGAGGAGGAGGGGGAGGGACAGGGAGGGGAACTGGCTTGCCGGCCCCAAGTCCAGCTCCAGCTCCAGGGACAGACTCTTATCTGTGATGCGTCATCCAACCCGCGCAGCTGCCCACAAAGCAGGTGCCGGTGTGACATTTCATCCAGGCCTCCCCAAGGGGCGGGGTGGGGGTGGCGGGAGGTGTCAGGGCGCCAGGCGGGCGCTCACTGGGTGGGGATCTCAGGCTCACTGGGTGGGGGGCTCAGGCCCACTGGGTGGGGATCTCAGGCTCACTGGGTGGGGATCTCAGGCTCACTGGGTGGGGGGGCTCAGGCTCACTGGGTGGGGGGCTCACTGGGTGGGGGGCTCACTGGGTGGGGGGCTCACTGGGTGGGGGGCTCGGGCTCACTGGGTGGGGGGCTCACTGGGTGGGGGGCTCAGGCTCACTGGGTGGGGGGGCTCACGGGGGGGATCAGGCTCACTGGGTGGGGGGTTCACTGGGTGGGGGACTCACTGGGTGGGGGGCTCGGGCTCACTGGGTGGGGATCTCGGCTCACTGGGTGGGGGGGCTCACTGGGTGGGGATCTCAGGCTCACTGGGTGGGGGGCTCAGGCCCACTGGGTGGGGGGCTCAGGCTCACTGGGTGGGGATCTCGGGCTCACTGGGTGGGGGGCTCAGGCTCACTGGGTGGGGGGCTTCAGGCCTCACTGGGTGGGGGGCTCAGGCTCACTGGGTGGGGGCTCAGGCTCACTGGGTGGGGATCTCGAGGCTCACTGGTTGGGGGCTTCGGCTCACTGGGGCTGGTCTCAGGCTCACTGGGTGGGGGGCTCAGGCTCACAGGGTGGGGGGCTCAGGCTCACTGGGTGGGGGGCTCAGGCTCACAGGGTGGGGGGCTCAGGCTCACTGGGTGGGGGGCTCAGGCTCACAGGGTGGGGGGCTCAGGCTCACTGGGTGGGGGGCTCAGGCTCACAGGGGGGGGGGCTCAGGCTCACTGGGTGGGGGGCTCCGGCTCACAGGGGGGGGGGCTCAGGCTCACTGGGTGGGGGGCTCAGGCTCACTGGGTGCGGGGGATCACTGGGTGTGGGGGCTCAGGCTCAACTGGTGGGGGGCTCAGCTCACAGGTGGGTGGTCATGCTCACTGGTGGGGGCTCAGGCTCACTGGGTGCGGGGGCTCACTGGGTGGGGGGCTCGGGCTCCCACTGGGACTCCAGCCCTGGGAGACGGAGTGGAGCTCTGGCCGCGGGGCCCTGGGAGGCAGGGGCCTGCAGAACAGGGAGGCGGCAGGAAGGTCCACGGGGCTGTGTCCAGCGCGACACCGGCCCCAGAGCCACAGGGAGGGCGGAGGCCAGTCTCCGGCCCACGCAGCCCACGCTGCCTGCCAGCCACTGACATCACGGTTTTTCCTTCTCCGTCTCAGAGCGCCACCCTTTCCTTTCTTTCTTTTAAACACACGTTTCAGAGAGGAGGGGAGGGAGAGAGACATCGACGATGAGAGAATCGCTGGTGGGCTGCCTCCTGCATGGCCCACACTGGGAATCGAACCCGGACCCTGCAGGCCCACGTCCATCCACGGAGCCACACCTGCGAGGGCTGGAGCATCACGCTTTCTGTGCCAGGCGCTCCCGGTCGATGGAATTCACTGGATTATTTACCAGCAGAATAAAGATCTGGAGGAGCAGCTGCCTCAGCCCAGCCGAGAGGCGGTCACCGCCCAGCCTAGCCCACGGCGTCTCCGGCGTGGCAGTCCCCGGGGCAGCTCACCGGAAACAGTGTTTGAAAACTGGGGGAAGATGATGTTCCCAAGTCTCCATGCATTCGCCCACCCAGGCCTTTTAGCTCTGTGACTTTTTATATAAATATATACACACACACACACACACACACACACACACACACAATCTCTCTCTCCCAATTTTTGGGGGGAGTACAGCATAGCCAATGGACGAAAAACTCTGGGGGTGAGGGCATGAATGTGAGTGGGGGGGGGGCAATGGTAAGATATGTACACATGTGATACCTTAATAAAAAAATACAAAATAAATTTTAAAAAATAAAAATATATATACAGCCCTAGCTGGTTTGGCTCAGTGGATGGAGGGTTGGCCTGCGGACTGAGGGGTCCCACATTCGATTCCGGTCAAGGGCATGTACCTTGAGGCAGCTGATGGATGTTTCTCTCTCATCGATGTTTCTAACTCTCTATCCCTCTCCCTTCCTCTCTGTAAAAAAGTCAATGATACACACACACACACACACACACACACACACACATTTTTTATTGATCTCAGGGAGGAAGGGAGATGGAGAGAGAGAAACATCCATGATGAGAGAGAGTCATGGATCGGCTGCCTCCCGCACACCCCACACTGGGGATCGAGCCAGCAACCTGGGCAGGTGCCCTGCCCGGGAATCGAACCCTGACCTCCTGGTTCATAGGTGGACGCTCAGCCACTGAGCCACGCCGGCCGGGCCCGCTCTGGGACTGTGTGTGTCACAGACTGACAAAGACACGCCTGGCAGGCGGCGGTTACAGAAGGGGAACTGCCTCCCGCGTGAGCCTGCGGGTGTGCCCATGGCTGCTGTCTTACCCACTCCTCAGAGGACGGCGTGGCAGGTGGGTCACAGGCAGGTGCGTGGCCAGGGCGAATCCCGGGCCTGTTCTCGCCCTGGAATTCCCGTCTCCGTCCGAACAGCGGGAGCAGCACCTCGCACAGCCCCGGGGGGCTACGGGTGTCACCGGGACGGTCGTGAGCCGTCACGCCTCACGCTCAGTGACCGGCTCGGCTCCGGCGGAGCATGCACACCGCGTACCCAGGCGCGCCCGCCAGCTCCGAGGGCGGCGGGGCTGAGCATGGGCGACGAACTCAGGGCTCATCACTGCCGACGCAGGCACGCCCGTGGAAAGAGGGGTTGGTATAGCCAATTCCACCAGAACCACTGTGCGACCACAGGCCGTGCGTGAGACAGCGGCCGCCTTCCTGGGCACAGGCCCTTCCATCAGGTCCCCGGAGAGGAGAGCTGAGGCCGCCGTCAAGGCCGAAGCTCGCTCCTGCACACCACACCGCCTGTGGGCCCTGCCCCCCACACGACCCCAGCCACACCCAGGTGAACAGGCCACGACAACGTGGACCATGTGGCCTCGAAAACTAAGCGCCCACACACCTGGCGACTAGTCCGGGGCGTGGACCTCTTTCCCTTAAATGTCACGTTGGAAAGTGACAGAGCCAAGGCAGCACTGCCCTCCGGGGTGAGTGGATTAGATCTGCCTTTCATCAGACAGGCACCAAGCATAACGTATTTTGTGTGTGTCACAGAACGTTAGTAATCCTGTCTAATAAGAGGGGATATGCAAATTGACCATCATTCTGTCACAAAGATGGCGGGGCCCACAGC